TCACTTTATACCTTATATTTCTTGTTTTACTAGAATATCTTAAACAATGGATGAGAAGAAAAAAAATATTTTTTTAAATCAGGGGCACAAGCAGTACTTTTAGGACTGATAGATACTTTAATGAAGTCTTCGAATCAACTTTAAAAAATAAGTCCTATACATATAATTGTTATTTTCCTTTTTGAGTTTATATTAAACTCAAACGAAAAACATGGAGATTACTGATTAAACTAAAATTATTAATATTTCCAAGATGATGCTGAGACCATATTTATTCATTTCCTTCAAATTAACATCAAAAAAACAAGTAAATGTATAAAGGTTTTTCTAGATCATTTATTCCGGCAATGTACCCCACAGCGGTTTTTGTGGTTTGGTAAAGAAATAGATGCAGAAATATATTTGTGAAATAAAAAGAAACTTACCTTGTGCTTTATGAAAAGACTATTAAAGCATGATTATCTCTGAGCACCCAAATTATGGATTATTATGGGTTATTTCCATTTTCTTCTTATCTCCTTTCTAGATTTTCCAAATTCTCCATAATAATCATGAATTACTTTTGCAATCAGGAAAATGGGTTTCTTTTTAAAAAATGATTACATTAAAGCATGTGTCTATCAATTTAATTTAGTAAACCTGATCTATTTTAATCGGCTTGCATTTTCTATATGATCTCCAGTAATTCTCTTTCCCTTGGTGGCTGAAGTTTGCAGACTTTATTTATTTATTTATTTATTTTTATTTTTTTTATTATTTATTTATTTTTTTTTAAATTTTTTTATTTTTTTTACAAATAGTTTATTGTCAAATTAGTTTCTACATAACACTCAGTGCTCATCCCCAAAGTGCCCTCCTTCATGCCCATCCCCCCCTCCCCCCCACATCCATCAGTCCTCAGTTTTTGTCAGCATTCAAGAGTCTCTCATGGTTTTGCAGACTTTATTTATAAACAAGGACCAAATGACTTGTATTGTGATCACATTGGTCCCCATCTCTCCAGAATGACAAAGCAAGGTCCACTGAGCACAACCTAACATGCAATGTTCTAAATGTCATTACTAAAACAACTACGCAGGCTTTTCATCAGACTTCTACAGAACCACAAAGAAAGGTCAAAGCAAAGAGAAGCTGTTAGAAAAACGCCAGCCTCTTATACCTTCTCATAGCCACAATCACATGGTATGAAGCAAATATTTTTAGGTTACACAGAGAAAAATTGAAACTGCAGCTTTGGGGGGCAATGGGATGTACAAAGAGAGAGAGAGACAGAGAGAGACAGAGAAAGAGGGAAAGAGAGAGAGAAGAAGGTTCTTCACGACAATTAAAGTTTTCAGGCAAAGGGTTTGAGATCCTTGGATGAAAGTTAAGTAAATACTGCATGACATGCACATTGTACAACAGCGTGTCATAATTATAGTTTGCTTTCAACCATCTGAAGCCTTTATGTGTTCTCTGGTTTTAGCTTCTAAGCCTTATAAATTATTTCTGACTCATCAGCCTTTCACCCAAGGGGCAACTCACAAGTTCCATAAACACATAGATATTTTTCTTAAATCTCTTTTCTAGCAAATGCATTTGTTTTTAACCTCAGAGTGTGAATTCCCACAATGAAAAGCAATTAAATAATACTTGTCTCCCTCTCGTATACTCCCCTTCCTCTAAAAATGTCCATTTATAATTAAAAGCACCTATATGAAGATCAATTCTTCACTACAGCTGGGGACCCGAAGCTGAGGAGAGAGTGGGAACAGGATAGTATAAATGCTACTAGTGGGCCAGAGTGCCCAACCTCAATCCAACTGACACTTCGGGTTGGATAGTTCTTTATTGTGGAGGGCTGTCCCGTGCATTGTAGGATGTTCAACAATGTCCTTGGCCTCTCCGCACTAGATGTCAGTAGTGCAGAGCTCCAATTCCTCAGACATGACCACCAAAATATCTCCAAGGTATTGCCAGATATCTCCTAGCAGACAAAATCAATACCAATTGAGAAACACTGTACTAGGCTACAAACCTTACAAAACCAAATTCTTTGTGCCTTTTGCCAAGGCAAATTGTTCTTTTGGCCCTCCAGTCAACTTCTATGTACCTCAGTCCCCACCAACATAAAATACAGACACTCACAAACCTTCACACTCTTCATGTCAAAGCCCTTGAATATTGTCTAGAGTTTTCCCTTTGAGCTGTATGTATGTATTTGGCTAAGAGGAGAGAAACAGGCATTGGTAACTTTCCCACCCATCCCTGACGTGGGTGTTCATGCTTGTCACTTATAATGTACATAAGTTCACAGTGTCTTGACTTCTGAAGCTTGCAAATGTCCCCAGTTTTTTTTTTTTTAAATCTGCTAGTCACACTCTGCAACCCTAGGCTCCCCCATGAATATTATTTCAACCATAATTTTATTTAATTAAATACATTTATTCTGCCTTGCAGTTCACTCATTTTGCACTTAAATATGCAATTGTGATCTAGGTTCAATATGTTTATTACATATTAGCTGAAATTACAGCTAATTAAAATAGTGTAAAGGATTTATAGAATAAAATATAAATAAAGTAAAATAAATATAAATAAAAATAATATAATATAAAAATAAAAAATATAAATAAAAAATAAAATAAATAAAATAAAAATAAAATAAAATATAGCACTTCCTAACTCATTCCTCAACAAAGGAACACATATTAGCTCATATAAATTGTGTTTTTTTGCCTCTTAATACATTCGAGGGATGTTTATTCTCCCTACTTCAAGTTAGCTGATGTTTGAAGCACCAAGGAAGATGGAGGAAATGACTTCCTCTATGGAAGAAACATTATTAACAAATCCTTCTCTATAGAAAACTCTGACAAGTGGATTTAACATTACTAGATTCATAATCTTGAGTAAATACCTTAGTCTCTACTGGCCTGTTTCATTTTTGGTAAAATAAGAATGATGATACCTACCCTCTAAGGCATGTTGAGTGACATCAACTGTTTGAAGTTCTTAGCCCTATGCCTGAGATAGAGATGTTTTATTAATGTCATTTCTATGCCACTTCCCTCATTTGTCCCTAGCACCGGCTAAATAATTTGTGAGGTCTAACGCACAATAAAAATGAGTGCTCCTTTGCTCAAATATTATTAAGAATTTCAAGATGACAACAAGAATACTAAACCAAGTGACAGGACTTCTAAGCACAGGGCTCTCTCTGTGTTACTATATAAGTTGTACACTCAAAAAGCCAGCCCTGGGGTGCCTGGGGAGCTGAGTTGGTTAAAAGTCTGACTTTGACTCAGGTCATGATCTCCCGGACTGTGAGCTGGAGCCCCAGGTTGGGCTCTGTGCTGACAGCTCAGAGCCTGGAGACTGCTTCAGATTCTATGTCTCCCTCTCTCTCTGCCCCTCCCCCACTAACTCTCTGTGTCTCTCAAAAACGAATAAATGTTAAATAAATTAAAAAATAAATAAATTTTAAGAAGTTAAAAAGAAAAGCACCAGCCCTCCTTGAGGCTTTTGAGGTTCCATTGATCTATTCTACTAAATTAAAAGCCCCTCTTCAGTTTGACAATTGACAGGAAAATAAATGGGACTAACCAGATAGGACTTGATTGCGTGTGCTGTTTTTCAATGCTGGCTCACTTTTACTCAAGCTGTTGAGTGTTAGTGAGCCTAGAGCTGTTATAAAGGAGGTATTTTAATCTGCTGTGGTATTTCAGAGGTTTGTATCATTCTCAACATGGGGGAATTAAAAAAATACCTTTGTTGTCAATAAGTAATTGGACCCTTGATGATAGCCCAAGAGGCACTTCAGGGCCCACAAGGCACTTAATTGAAAAGCTCTTTATCCACAGTTGTAAAACGGTATTCACAAAGAAAGCAGCATAGCTCTAAATATTTTAGATCTTACACTGGAGAGTTTTAGAGAACTGATCCAGGTGCCTAAGAGTAAAATCCCCAAGGAAGAAGACTTGGTTTCCAAACCACTGAGCTTCAGTTCTCTCCCATTATTCTTTAAGGATGCAGCAGTATCTCTTTTAAAAGGTTTGTCAAGGTTTTTACATCCTACTTATAAGATCGAAATCCTGTAAAAAATAAAAAAACAAAATGTATGTGTAAATATATGTATAAATATGTGTATACACACACACACACACAGAAAAATTTCCAAATTTCCTCTTTTGGAAAAACACGCACGCACATAAACATCTTAACAGAGGCAAATAAAACTAACATTTACTGAGCACCTTCCGTGTGTCGGGTGTTTTACACACATTGGAATACTAAACTATATGTTAGTTTTCATTCACTTATTTAATCTCTAGACACTCAAGACTTGTTTTTGTTTTTGTTTTTTTTTTCAACAGTGGAGAAACTAGCTCAGGGCAGTTATGTAACGTGCCCAAAGTCACAAAGTTAGAAAGTTTGGAGGCTCTGGCTTGGAAATTTTATCTGATTCCAAAATTCATGTATCGCGAGCCTATTCACTTTAGATGATTAAGAATTCAGGGATCCAATTTGTCACAGTGTCTTTGAATCAAACAACGAACAAAGTGCAACAATATTTAATACACTTGCTAATCATGTTAGTTCACAGGGCCGCCTTGCTCTTCCCATAATTCCCTCCCTTTCTCCTACCTTCCATCACCACAAATCATTCAGTGTCTAAATCTTACCAATTTTTCTAACAGTTATAACTGGTAGAACAGGGCTACCTCTGAGTTAAAAAGAAGTTAAAACTTGTGGTATGACATTAACTCCGAAGACCTCGAGAAAAAAAAAAAAAGCTGTTTGTGACTGTAATCCCTCGCTTCCGGCCTCAACCGGGCGAGAAGTAACCTCAGCACGTGGGACCAAACGATTCCCAGCCCGCGCGTGCGTCCGGGCAAGGGGCTGGTCGGCCCGGGATGCGCAGGCGCGAAGGCCGAAGCGACTGGGGGCGGTCGGCCCCTGGTTTCCCTGGAGACGGGGCGGAAGCGGCCGGAAACAGCGCTGCCGTTGGCCGCGGCGGGATGGAAAAGCTGGGGGCGGAGCCAGGGGAGGAAGCCGGCTGCGACGACGAAGAGGACGCGGCTGAGGCCATGGAGCGGGCGGAGGCGGGGAAGGCCGGGTGCTCGCCCGGTGCGCCGCTGCCTGAGGAGCCCGGCGGCCTCCCTTGGTGTAAATGAGATGGGCGGGGCGGGCGGAGGCTGAGGGGAGGCGGAGGCGACCGTTGGGGCGCGACAGTCGCTGCCTCGCTCTGTTCTTTTCGTTTTTCCGGCTTGGTAGAGAGGGCTGCCCTTCGCTACCTGCTGTTTTACAGCTAAGGATCCGAAAGGGATGATTTCGCCTAATAGGATAGGGTGGGCGTGTCAGTTTGTTATTCCAGGGTGCATTTGTGATCTCGCGATTAGCCAGTGAATGCCGATGGGGCGCCCGGGCTGAGTAAGGTTGCCAACGTAGAGAATCTTGTCGCCCACTTGGCAGAGGTTGGGGCTGAAGCTTGGCTCGGAACGGAAGACGAGGCACATGTGCGGTGGCCGTCTCTCCGATGACCCACTTCCAGCCTCTGGAAATACAACGGCTCTACCTTGTACTGCCCAACCCAGGGCCTGGGGCCAAGGCTCTTCCTTAAACCTTCTCCCCCCCCCCCCCCCCCCCCCCCCCCCCCCCCCCGTTTAACTTTTAATTTTTGGAATAATTTTAGACTTACAGAAGTTGCAGAAGCGACTTTCCCTTCTGTTAATATATCACTCATCGTACATGGTTCCGAACTGAGAAGTGAGCACTGGCATAATAGTGTTAACTAAAGCACAAACGCTATACAGATGTTGCCAGTTTTTTCCACTAAACTTTCTGTTCCAGGATCCAGACGGGAATACCACACTGCCCTTAGCCTGCCTTGTTTTTACTTGGTTACGGGCTGGAATTTCCCCTCTCTTATCCCCCTCTCCTCCTCACCGCATGACATGAGCTACTTCTTAAAATTCAAGAAATATTTACTCATTCTTTTAATTTAGCGACTATTTATTGGTAGTCTGTTAACATGCCGGGCCCTGTCCTAGATACTGGGGATTCAGCATTGAACTAGATAATCCTGCTCTCATATGGGTGCTAGATAAAGTCCACTGGAACCCTGAGGTCTGGCTTCTGCCCTTTTGTATTTAACGTTTCTTTTTGTTTGTTTATTTTGTTATTTAAGAACCTGCCACTTAGGATAATTTTTAAGTTGGTTGAAATCAGCGTTTAAACTTACCTACCCCTTACAATTAATCTAAATTTTATTATAAATTTCCAGGGGATAGGATTACCTGTTTCATCTTCCATTATGGTTCCCACCCACCCTGCCCCAGGACTTATTTCTAGCCTGAGAAAAATACGGTACAGGAAGATGTACTAAATGACAGGACTGAAGAGCCTTCTGTGGATGCAGTTTCTCTCATGCCCATAATTTTTAGATGCTTTGACACATAAATCTGGGAAAAAACGTAAAATCATTCTGCATTTTTCCTTCTCAGTTACCATGTTTTAAAGAGTTGCCAATTGCTCAGAGATGATAAGCAGCCTGGATATATTTTTCTATTTCTTTGCATATTGTGCATTGGTTCATGGTCAAGTGGTGCCAGAAGGAGGTTCTTCATCCAGAGTAATAGTACATGTGGATCTGGATTGCTTTTATGCACAGGTGGAAATGATATCAAATCCGGAACTGAAGGGCAAACCTTTAGGTAATTCTGGACATTGATAATATTTTCATTTCGTATGAGAGTATTAACACACATTTATGTTGATTATATTCTGATTCATTAACCATATTAAAGATTTTGGGAGCAGTTCTTAAGGTGCTTTATGTACAGTAGACTTTGCTTCACTAGTAGGTGTAAAATATATAAGCCTCATTTAATAAATGATGAAAATAATAAATTTTACACAAGTAGTGTATATAGCCAACTGAACACATAAACAGAAAGACCATAATAAGCCACTAGGCTTTTTCTCAATGGCTGAAATTCAAAAATGTCTTATTACATTCTAATGGACATTTTCGTCTATCAAACCTTCTTTTGGTTTGACTCTTGAATTGTGTAATGTGACAAAATAGTTGAATTTTGAACAGAACCCTAAATACTTGAGGCATATAGAATGTAAGTTTTCCATAAAAACGCAGGTATCTTTTTAAATAAAAGGCAAAGAGGAATTTTGCATTGAGGATTTACTTCTATATGTTGGCTTGTTTTAACATCTCTATTACATGTATGTCTTAAATTGGAAAAGTCATTTAAATTTCCAAAAATTTCTTTTATGCATGTAGTAAGAATGTATCTTTTAGTTTAGGTGTAAAGAGCAATTCTGGTTGACCTGCAGCAAACCTCTCGTGCCTAGTTTGTTTTTGATGAATCCCAATTCAACCCAGCCTAGTTGATTTACTAAAGAAGAACAAGGGAATGACTAATTTTTGGTATGCCAATACCAGTCTAAGATTAATCCTGAAGGGTTAATCGTTCATTCTTAGCGTGTCAAGGAGTTGGGGTTAGGAGATACAAATTTTCTACTAAAGGCATTTCTAATTACTAGCAGTGTAACATAAGATGCTGTGTAGGTAATGCTTAATAAAAAGGTATTGTATAATCAAGACACAGAGATGAGTGTTTATCTCAAAGTGAGAAATTGATGCTGAAAGTTTTTGGGAGAAAGCAAAAGTAGTCTTTCAGTTATACTCAACAAAATATGTGACTATTTAACTTGGGCTAGGGACATATAGTGGTGAGTCCATGTAATTGAATTCTGTATTAGGAGACTACATTTTAGTTAAGGAATTTACCAGTCTGATTCTTATGTAGTTCACTGATGAATCTTAAATTACTCCTTTTGGCTCAGAGATTCTATTTTGGAGTAGTTAATCTGATATCTCAAAAATCTTTATGTGAAATAACGTTTCTTTGCTTTGTTTATAATATCAAAGTTTTAGAAACAAATGTCTTACGTTGGTGGAGTGGACATAACCTTTTTTTTTCTTCTACATGGTTGTGTTTTACATATGTTAGATGAACATTACCTTTACAGTGGTAGACAAATGGTCAGCTTGTGTAAAGAGAAAAGTAATTTCCGCAATCTTAAGCCACCACTAGTAAACGAGAATTTGTGTAGTCTGTAGATGATCATAATTTAATCATTTTTGATAAGGGGTAGACCCATCAATGATGCCTCACTGTCTAATCTTTTCTGGGGAACAGTTCAATAATTACAACATTTATTGGGAAAAGATCCTTCATGCTTGTAGGTTGCCACTTACAATAGAATGTTGCTTTATATTCATTGGAAAGTTTTTCTAGCAGAAACCAGTAATTGTACTCAGTTATTTTCATCTGCTTTATTTTTTGGTGAAGCATAACCTAGACCTATATAAAGAGTTAATTCAGTATAAATTAATTTGGTTTCATATTGTCTGGAAAAAAATTCTGAGAAGGATTTTCCTTATATCTTTTTGCTGAAGACTCCAGAGAATATAGTGATTTATTTTTATTTTTTAAATGTTTATTTATTTTGAGGGAGAGAGAGAGTGAGGAGGGGTGCAGAGAGGGAGAGAGAGAATCCCAAGCAGGCTCTGTGCTGTCAGCGTAGAGCCCAATGTGTAGCTCGATCTCACAGTTTGAGAGATTATAACTTGAGCTGAAATCAAGAGTCAGGTGCCTAACTAACTGAGCCACCCAGGTGCCCTGAGAATATACTGATTTACGATAATTTCTGTTAATTTTACTTCATAGAACCTGACGAATGGAGGCTGTACTTTTTAACTAAATAGGACTTTTTAGTTTTAATCGGAATAGATTGCAATACAATTTAAAATTATGGAATTAGAAAATTATATTTTAAGATGATCTTTTAATCCTGCTCAGTTTTCTCAAGAATATTTACTTTTTATAGGGGTTCAGCAGAAATATTTGGTGGTTACCTGCAACTATGAAGCTAGAAAACTTGGAGTTAAGAAACTTATGAATGTCAGAGATGCAAAAGAAAAATGTCCACAGCTGGTATTAGTTAATGGAGAAGACTTGACACGTTACAGAGAGATGTCATATAAAGTTACAGGTACAGATTATAGGCAATATCCTTTCAGCATTAATTTGTATATAGGATGTCTTTTCACTACATGAATCTTTTAATAAATAAAATGCCATAAATCACTTTCCTCTTTGGTAATAACTTTTATTTTGGGTCTTTCCTGCTTTAAAAAATATTTTGTATAAGAGGATGGCTTTTTATGTTATGAGTAATCTTGACACTTGACAGAAAAATGTATAGTTGTAAGAAATTCGGAGTTTTTTGTGACTGGTGTTTATAAAAATGTGAGGAAAAAAATGTAAAGCAAAAATTGGACATGAGAAAATGGAAAGACATACCAAAGAAAGTAAAACATTTTTTAAAATTTTAATTTAATTTAGAGAGAGAGAGAGTGTGTGAGTGTAAGCCAGTGCACAGGCCTGGGAGGGGTAGAGAGAAGGAAAGACAGAATACCAAGCAGGCTCTGCATCATTAACACAGAGCCTTATGTGGGGCTCGAACCCACCAGTGGTGAGATCATGACCTGAGCCGAAGTCGGATGCTTACCTGACTGAGCCATCTAGGTGCCCTTAAAACCAAGTTTAAATGAATTATGAATATGCTGTACTCTAATGTGGTAATAGTTGGGGGAGGCTTCTGTAATGTTTGATTAACATAATTAAAAGCTGATTTTTAAGAACTATTAGCAAAAATAATGAGTATCTTAATTTTTTCTTGGATTTTATATGTATACTAAATATTACAATATAGGCAAACTCCTCCATACTAAGGTTTACGTTTGAATCTTACAGTTTTAGTAAATTATAGGAAATATGAAATATATTTGTACTGGCATATTGCAAATATATGTAATTTAAAAATATATAAGAACCAGTATTTATCTTTTCTGCTGTTGTTTTTGCTTGTTCTTTTATTAATTGTAGCAATTTTCAGATGAAAGCATTAAGTATAATATCCAAAAAGCCCTTACAAATTTACAAGAAAAAGATAACTTAAGAAAAATGAACAAAAGATATGGATAGGCAATTGACAAAACGAACAAACCCAGTGTCCACAATTATGTGAAAAAAGAATATTCAAATTCATTAGTGGCTCAGGAAATTTGAATTAGTAAGATATTATTTTATGTCCATCATACTTGCAAAAAATAAAGAATGTGAGAAAAAGTAGAAACAAAGTATTACAGCTTTTTTAAAAATGTTTTTTTTGGTTTTGTTTTTTTACAAATAGTTTATTGTCAAATTAGTTTCCACATGACACCCAGTGCTCATCCCCACAAGTGCCCTCCTCCATGCCCATCCCCCCTCCCCCCTACATCCATCAGTTCTCAGTTTTTGTCAGCATTCAAGAGTCTCTCATGGTTTGCCTCTTTCCCTTTCCCCCACCATTTCCCCCCTTCTTCTCCCCCTTGGTCCTCTGTTAAGTTCCTCCTAATCCTCCTATACGTGCAAACATATGATATTTGTCCTTCTCTGCCTGACTTATTTCGCTCAGCATAACACCCTCAAGGTCCAGCCATGTTGCTACACATGGCCAGATTTCATTCTTTCTCATTGCCATGGAGTATTCCATCGTATAGATAAACCACATCTTCTTGATCCATTCGTCCGTCGATGGACACTTAGGCTCTTTCCATGTTTTGGCTATTGTTGAGAGTGCTGCTATGAACATTGGGGTACATGTGCTCCTATGCCTCAGCATTTCTGTATCCCTTGGGTAAATTCCTAGCAGTGCTATTGCTGGGTCTTATGGGAGTTCTATTGTTATTTTTTTGAGGAACCTCCACACTGTTTTCCAGAGGGGCTGTACCAGTTTACATTCCCACCAACAGTGTAAGAGGGTGCCCGTTTCTCCACATCCTCGCCAGCATCTCGTGTTCTCTGATGTGCTCAAAAAATGTTTTTTTTATTTATTTCTGAGAGAGAGACAGAGAGACAGACAGAGACAGAGAAGGAGACACAACGTGAGCAGGGGAGGGGCAGAGAGAGGGAGACACAGAATCTGAAGCAGGCTCCAGGCTCTGAGCTGTCAGCACAGAGCCCGAAGCGGGACTCAAACCCATGAACTATGAGATCATGACCTGAGCCGAAGTTGGATGCTTACCTGACTGAGCCACCCAGGTGCCCCAAATATTACAATTTTTAAAAAGAAATATAGAAATGTTTTTTCAAATTAAAGATACAAATTATATTTTTAACCCTGTTTTATTACTACTGGGGATTTATCCAGTAGAAATAAAATCATGAGAACATATGTACAAAAATATTGTAGCATGATTTGTAATTGGTAAAAATATGGAACGAAAACAAATGCTCATCAGGATGAGAATGGCTAAAGGAACTAAGACTGCTCTATGATGGATATTATGTGGCCATTAACAAGAATGCATTGGTGGCATACTGTTTGATTTTGAGAGATATTCCTTGTTGAGTAAAAGCTATGTATGCCTATATATTAATAGGAAGGGAAGCGAGAGGATATATACTAGGTTTTGAATGTAGTTAACTTCTGGAGAGGAGGTGACTGTGGTGAAATGGGAGAAAGGGGGAAGAAGGGATAGCCAAGCAGAAAAGATAAGACTATACTCTGAAAATATCACTTGTATATCTACGCAAAATTGTGTGTATGTGAATTTTAAGATAATCTTTAGTGTACACAGAAGAGGTTATACACAGAGTTGTGTCTCTTCAAGTAACTCTTCCTCATTCTTTTCAATACTTGCCCAGTACTACATTGTATTTTGTTCTGTACTTAACCAGTCCTTTAGTGATATGGAGACAGTATGTCCCACTTTATTCCTGTTGTCCCCACCTGATGATTAATAGCACCTCCTTTCATTCAAAAAATGTCTTATTTTGGATGATAAATTACATGGTTTCCTGATAGTGATGTATTGTTAATTAGGCTGTTACCAATTTTTTGTTCTTCCTAATATATGCTTTGGTAGACATTTCACATAGAAATTTGGGCCTACTTTTATGGAGATATCCATATGGTAAGTATTCTTAGAGGTTAATTTCTAGATCAAAGATAATTTGCACTTAAAATTTTGAACACTGCTGAAAATTGCACTTGAGGTTTTCCCAGCACATTGTTAGTATATATGGGTGTTACATATTCTCAAATTGTAAAGATTTTGCCTGATAGGTGAAAAGAGTAGTAAGACAGGGCGCCTGGGTGGCTCAGTTGGTTAAGCATCCGACTTTGGCTCAGGTCATGATCTCACGGTTTGTGGGTTCCAGCCCCGCGTCAGGCTCTGTACTGACAGCTCAGAGCCGGGAGCCTGCTTCTAATTGTGTGTCTCCCTCTCTCTCTGACCCTCCCTCAAGCTGTCTCTCTCTCTCTCTCTCTCTCTCTCTCTCTCAGAAATAAATAAAACATTAAAAAATATTTTTAAAAAAATAGTCATTGTTTTGATTTGAATTTCTTTATGAGTAAGTTTGAACATCTTTTCATATTTTGGTCATTTACATATATTTTTTTTTCTGTGAATAGCCTATAGGGCCTGATTTTCATTTGGATTGTTTAATTTTTTTTTGTAATTGACTTATATCATTTTTTGGAACTTAAGGAAATTAGCTCTTTGATATCCATGTATTATAAATATATTTACAATTTGTGTTTTATCTTTTTACATTTATTTATGGTGTCAGACTTACCAGTCTTCCCCTTATTACTTTTATGCCACTGTACCTTTTCATCCTTTTAATAATGAAAATATCATCCTGGAAATTTAGTTAGTAAGTCTGACTTTTATACTGATTCTTAATTTATCAAGTATTTTGAGTGAATTAAAAATGCACTAATATTGGGGCACCTGACCTTCTTAGTCAGTGGAGCATGTGACTCTTGATCTCAGATCTGTGAGTTAAAGTCCCATGTTGGGTGTAGAGATTACTTAAAAACAGGTATTTTAGAAAATACACTAATATAATAACAAGAAATATTCTGTGGGGGCACCTGGGTAGCTCAGTTGGTTGAGTGTTGCACTCTTGAATTCAGCTCAGGTCACCATCTCATGATTCCTGAGATCCAGTCCTGCCTCAGGCTTTATGCTGACAGCGTGGAGCCTACTGGGGATTTTGTTTCTCCTTCTCTCTGCCCCTCCCCTGCGTGTGCACACTCTCTCTCAAGATAAATAAACTTAGGGGTGCCTGGGTGGCTCAGTTGGTTAAGTGTCCAACTTCGGCTCAGGTCACGATCTCACAGTTTGTGGGTTCAAGCCCCGTAACAGGCTCTGTGCTGACAGCTCAGAGCCTGGAGCCTGCTTTGGATTCTGTGTCTCCTTCTCTTTCTGCCCCTCCCCCACTTGTGCTCTGTCTCTCAAAAATAAATAAAAATGTAAAAAAAAATCAAGATAAATAAACTTAACAAAATATTCTAAAGATGATTTGTGCATTAATGAAAAGTTATTTTGTTAATTTTTCTCAGTGTTTTCTGAGTTGAAGTAGGAACATAGCCTCATAGTCCTATACTGAATTTATCTCTGACTTATTTATAATGTATCTTATTATTTCATATTTTTCTACAATATGTATATATTTTTGTTAGATAGTTTTTTCTCTAATTATAAACTTCTCTCTTTGGCCTTTCATGTTTATAAATACATTGTTTATGAAGTTGACAGGAAAAAACTATTAACTTCAGGAATGGGATTTGTGATTTATCCCTGTAACCTAGTAATAGAACCCATATAATCAATCAATATTTGGTGATTCACCAGCTTTGTGCTTGATTCTGTGTTTAATTTGCTTTTCTGCTTAGTACTTGAAACCTTGTCCTTCATTTTTCTTATAGAGCATATACTTTTGAAAAAATTGTGAAGAAATTGATGTACGAAATGCAAAAGAATCCTTTTATGTGATCAAAAAAATTGTCAGTCTCAGATAAATAGTTTTCTCTAGGTAGAGTGGAAGTGATTTTTGGTGGTCACTGGGTCATGTTACCTTTATTTTTTTTTTATTTTTTTAAAAATGTTTTATTTATTTCTAGGAGAGAGAGAGAGAGACAGCGTGAGCAGGGGAGGGTCAGAGAGAGAGGGAGTCACAGACTGAAACAGGCTTCAGGCTCTGAGCTGGCAGTCAGCACAGAGCCTGACGCGGGGCTTGAACCCACGAACTGCGAGATCATGACCTAAGCGAAAGTCGGACGCTTAACCGACTAAGCCACCCAGGTGCCCCTCATGTTATCTTTATTAATTGTTTTCTTGTGATATTATCAAGCTGTCATCAATAAAATAGAGGTATGTTTAGTATTTGTATAAAAAAGTGATCTGTCTGGAATGACATAGTACTTTTATTTTTGGGTTTTCACATTATAGGACTTTGAGAACCTATGCATTTTTAATTTTTAAAAAATGTTTATTTATTTTTGAGGGAGAGAGAGAGAGACAGAGCCTGAGCAGGGGAGGGGCAGAAAGAGGGAGACACGGAATCTAAAGCAGGCTCCAGGCTCTGAGCTTTCAGCACAGAGCCCGATATGGGGCTCGAACCTACGAACTGTGAGATCATGACCTGAACCGAATTCAGATGCTTAATGGACTAGCCACCCAGGCACCCCGCCTATGCATTTTTAGATAAGAAGAGGCTAGTAATTTGTATTCTGCCATCCTACTGGCATCAGTAGATGATTGAGAGAGATGTGAAAATTCTCAATGATTTCAGAGTTACTAGTTTTCATCTTAAAAAGAAGAATTAATTGTCCTTATGAAGTTGTTTCAAATCTTGGTTCACTTCAATTTAGCAAGCATTTGACGTAAGGGTATTGTGCTAGGTGGTGGGCATTCATATACAGTGAGTCATGGTCCATATCTACCCTTGAGGAGTAAGCTGGGGGAATGACTGACCAAAATCTTGCATTGTAGTTTATTTTGAAAATTAAGTGACTTTTCTTTTTAATTCAGTAATAATTGGAAGTTTTAAATTTTATTTTGTCTTTTTAAAACTCTTGTGGAAAATGTAGTAAAATGTATTATTACTTGTTTCTACTTTTCTAGGCTGATTGTAATTTATTCTTTTGACCCACTGTTGTGAAGTCATAATGAGCTATAAGCATTAATATTTAATGTATAGGTATAGAAATTTTAGGTATAGGAGATTGAGCTAAATCTATTGCTATGAGCATCTGCCCAGGTAATGTCATTTTGGACTTATTTTGTTGGGAAATATTGCCTTTACTCAAAATGTGGTACAGAAAAAAATCCCAGTTAACTGAGGACTTTTTAAGAGATAATTGTGGAAGGGTGAAGAACTTTTAACATACCTGATGTATTTTTAAGCATAAAATAGTTAACATCTATTTTAGTTATGGCTTTAGTTAACATCTGTGCACCACTATTATTTCAATTTAGAGTTGTTGGAAGAATTTAGTCCAGTTGTTGAGAGGCTTGGATTTGATGAAAACTTTGTGGATGTAACAGAGATGGTTGAGAAGAGACTGCAGCAGCTTCAAAGCGATGACCTTTCAGTGCTGACTGTGTCAGGTCATGTCTATAATGATCAGGGTAAGTGACTTCTTCCTCTGCTTAGTAGCTAAACGTACCTACATTTCTTAATGTTCACTGAATTCAGTGAGCTTAATGAATTCACTTTATCTTTCTGGAAATGTTACGGCTTTTGTTGGAGGTAAAGCCATATTTCAGGGGTCTGTCTACAATGATTAAAAGTAGGTATTATGTATTAAGTAGGCAGAAAATGAGATTGTGATGACCTGTAGCTCAGTGCTCCATGCACTCTTCATTTCTCTGACACAGTTTGTGTGTCGTCATATATAAGAGTCGTACCTCTTTAGGTTATAAGAGTTGCCTTGATAATATACTTTTTAGGATAATTTTTATTCTCCTAAAACTGGCTTTAAGCAAATTTTGAGATAAACTAAATTTGTCTTTTGTTGCCTCTTTTGCATGTTCCTTCTATTCTCCCAGGCATCAAGACACTCCTGTCGCTCTTTGAATTCCTGAATTAACCCCCGTGGAAGCTTGTCCAGGCCTACCTGCAATCTGTTGCAAGCTCATATTCAGAATCCAGTCAGTTCAATAATCTTTGCCAACTGTTTGCAAAAAAGCAGACTGGTCCATCTCCTTCACATAGTAAAGTGTGAATGACTGATGGTATTTCCAGAGATATCTACATTTGAAAATAAGCTTCAATAAGCCCCAGTGAATATTGTAACTGCCGGTGACTTCTGTATCATGCCACACGTGTGTGTGTGTGTGTGTGTGAGACACACAACTCTGCTTTGGTAGAAGACTTCCCCTGACCCTCTTGCTTCTATGTCTCAGCATGTGTGTCCTCTTATGCTCCTTTTTGAGAGCTGCTGATCAATCTCCAGTCTAGTTCTCAGCCTCCCTATTATTAAAGAAGAAAAGGGGGTAGAGCTACAGTTCTTTTCTAGAAGAGGGCATGAAGCTTTTCATGTGTCTTTTGTACCTGTGCTCTATTGTCACTTATAAGGACGGAATAGAATAAGTGTTAAAGCAAATTCAGTATTTGTTAGTACATGTTACAGAGAGTTGGGTTTTATATCCTAAAATGAAAATGTCATTCTTCATGAATACTTCCTTTAAGATTTTGTTAAAAAAATTCTTCAAACCTACAGAAAAGTTGACAGACTAGTACTGTGAAAATACTTATTATGCCCTTCCTTGTAGATACACTTGCCATTTTGCTACCTTTACTTGCTCCCTTTTTGTTGATTGGTGGCTGATCGATGAGCCATTTAAAAGTAAATTGTAGACGTCATGACACTTCATCCATAAATACTCCTGAGAGTAAGGACTGTCTCATATAATTCTAATACCATTTTCACCTCCAAGAAAATTTATTTCTGTATAATTTCTCTACACTTTTCATAAGAGATCTCTCAAACTATGTACAGATTCAGAATTTTTTTCAGTAGCACATCTAGTTAGTGCATATAGAGTTTTGATTCAGATCTTTAAAGCTGTAATGTTAGCTTTCTTATTAATGTAATACTTTTATGCTTGCTTACAGTTAAAAATGAGTAAAAGTCTTACTAATATCAGTAGGAATTTATTTTAATGTTTGTTTATTTTTGAGAGAGAGCAGAGTGTGAGCAGGGGAGGGGCAGAGAGGGAGGGAGACACAGAATCCAAAGCGGGTTCCAGGCTTCAAGGTCAACACAGAGCCCGATGTGGGGCTTGAACTCCCAAACAGTGAGATCATGCCCTGAGCCAAAGTTGGTTGCTTAATCCACTGAGCTACCCAGGTGCCCCATCAGTAGGAATTTTTATGAGAGATCAAATTTCTTAACCTGTTAATCATTAAGCGCCTGAGTGGCTTAGTCGGTTAAGTGTCCGACTTAGGCTCAGGTCATGATCTCACGGTTTGTGAGTTCAAACCCTGTGTCAGGCTCTCTGCTCTCAGCACAGAGCCTGCTCATTTCCTGTCTCCCTCTCTCTCTGCCCATTCTCCACTTTCTCTCTCTCTCAAAAATAAATATTAAAGAAAATCTGTTAATCATTAAGCACTGCCAGGATGCATGCACTATTGCAGGCACTTGGAATTCACTGCTGGTATTTACTTACTTTACAGTATTCCTATGAAGAACAAAAGAGATGAGTTAAATGGGTGGCAGTATGGTGGTGTTGTGGGGGATGAGATTGGATACAGGTTAAGCCCTGTGCCCTTTTTAAGCTCATTTCTAAAAAAGAAAATTGAAACTTTTTGTATGACTTTAAATGACATTGGCTGTTTTTATAGCTGTGAACCTGCATGACATCTTGCACATCAGACTCCTCGTTGGATCTCAGATTGCAGCAGAGATGCGGGAAGCCATGTATCATCAGTTGGGTCTCACTGGCTGTGCTGGAGTGGCTTCTAATAAATTACTGGCAAAATTAGTTTCTGGTGTTTTTAAACCAAATCAACAAACAGTCCTACTACCCGAAAGCTCTCAAGTTCTCATTCAGAGTTTGAACCATGTAAAGGAGATGCCTGGTAAGATATATATATTTGAAAAGTATACATTAATTTTATTGCATTTCTTTAATTTTAAAAATTATAGATACATATAATTAATTTTTAGAGCCTGTATACTTGGCTCTTGGAGAAAACCCAAAACCCTGATATTCTCTAGAGGGAATATGGATTAGGAAATCTATGAAAGTACTTTTCTAGTTGCATCTACTTTTATTTTAGTGTGGTTTGAATATGATCATGAAAGTTAGAACCTGGACACATGGTCCTTTATTTCCAGTCCTTGCTTCATATTCTTATACTGTACACTGCATCTGGAAAGGGGCATTGATCTTTTACTAACTCTGCTTTGGGATTATATAGAAAATGTTAGGGTACAAGGGACCTTTCAAAGCATTTAGGCCAAGTTCTTATTTTAAAGATGAAGAAACTAATTTTCTTGAGGGGGTTAGTGACCTATTCAGGTCATAGGGCAAATTTCTATCCTGAAGATCAAATATTTATGTTTTTATAGACTCAATAAGGGACATGTTAAACTTCATTTCCATGGCATTACTGGGGGATAAGATGTTATGATAGAATTCTTTGGAAATTTCTAAGAAAATTGAACCTTTAGATGTCACAACTTCATATTTTTAACCCATGTTTGTGTGATTACAAAATGTTTTGTATACTGCCTTGCCTTCATTAATACAGTATAAGTGTAACTTGCACTTTTCTGGATGACTCTGAGTCTGTGGTCTGAAAAACAGTTATTATGTCAGATTGTAATAAATGGAGCACTGTATATTGATGCAGTCATAGATAACATTATTACTTGACTTTTCTTTTTGAGTTCTTGATTTTTTATTTATTTTTACAGGCTTTCTCTTCCTTATTGCCAAATTGCCAGACCTTTTATTTCAGCTGTGAACATATCTGTCACTCCACTTCAGTAATTTCCCCTCCACACTGATTGCCTTTGATTTACTTCCTTTACTGTGCAGGAAAACCAGAATACTGTAGAATTAATTTTTTTTTTAATTGAGAGAGGGGTGTTTGGATAGCTCAGTCGGTTAAGCGTCTGACTCTTGATTTCAGCTCAGGTCATGATGTCATGGTTTGTGGAATAGGTCCTACTTTGGACTTCCAGCTGACAGCTTTCTCTCTCTCCTCTCTCTGCCCCTCCCCCACTTCCATTCTCTGGCATGCTGTCCACGTTCCCCCCCCATAAATAAATAAACAAATATTTACAAAAAGAGAGAAATAAAGGGACACTAAATTACCTGAGCAGAATGTGATAAACTATGACTTGAGTGTTAGTGCAACACCTTTTGCTAGGAGTTTTGCCAGTGAGTAGATTTCTTTATTTGTTTGCTTTCTGGCTCTTGTATTTGGGAAAGTAAATATTGGCAGATACGACTCATGGATAAATGTATGATATTATATTAGGAGTCAGATTACATAGTAAGCACGTGCTAATTAATTTTATTTAGTCTTTAGTCTTTCTTTGCATGAATAATAACCATGACTCTTGAATACTTCCAAAGTGTTATATAGCAGGTGGTAAACACCTCACTTTATCAAGACAGCATTTATTGGTTATCTCCATATTCATTTTGTTGTACTAGGGTTGTTAGGTTTTCGAAATGGTTCATTTAAGAGGCCCTGAACAAAAGAAGGACAGCCTACTTTTCAATAAATTTTAATCCTAGCATGATATTCATTATGGTATTTAAAGATGTGTTTGATGTAGAATACTTGAATTAGCTGTATTTTAAGTGGGAAAGCTACTATAACCCTCTGCCTATTTCCTTTTTGTCTAGGTATTGGCTATAAAACTACCAAACGTCTTGAAGCTCTGGGTATCAGAAGTGTGCGTGATCTCCAAACCTTTTCATCCAAAATATTAGAAAAGGAATTAGGAATTTCAGTGGCTCAGCGTATCCAGAAGCTCAGTTTTGGAGAGGATAACTCTCCTGTGACACCCTCAGGCCCACCTCAGGTATATGATGATGATATTCATTGTAATTGAGTACTAGTTGTCACGTTATTTGAGATAAAGATTTCTGGTTTTAGTACTATGTTCTCACTGTTCCAATTTGCTTACTGGGTTTAGTACATCATCTCTTTCCTATGAGAAGGCTAATTTATTAGATTAGTAAATATTTTTAAATTGAATCTAAGAATTAGTATTTCAGTCTCAAGTTAGCTACCTTGATTAAATACCACTTAATTTTTAACAAATTTTATTGCATACATTAGGTAGAATAGTTCAGTTTTTAAGAAATCTTATTTTCTGAGTAGTCTAATGATTTAGGAAATAGAGACAGATATAATCACCCACTTAACATTGATTGAGTTTTTACCCTATGTGACAGGCACTTCACTAAGTGCTTTACATACCTTAGCCCATTTAATCTTCACAACAAAGCTTGAAGTAGGCTGTACTATTACCTGTTCATACCTGTTTCCCTCTCTCCTGTTCTTTTTTTAAGATGAGGATATTTGGCTCAGTCAGTTAGGCGTTCAGCTTTGGCCCAGGTTATGATCTTGCAGTTAGTGAGTTTAAGCCCTGAGTCAGGCTCTGTCCTGAGAGCTCAGAGCCTGGAGTCTGCTTTGGATTCTGTTTCTGCCTCTCTCTCTGCCCCTCCCCATGCTTGCTCGCTCACTCTTTCTCTCTCTCTCTCAAAAATAAACATTACCAAAAAAAGAAAAATGATGAGGATAATGTACTTCTGAAAGGTTAAATAACATGTCCAAGGTTAAACTCAAATTCAAGTGCTAGGAGATTAAGAGCCTTACTATAATCATAGAAAAAAGGTTGGAGTTGGTACTAGAGCTTTTTGTTGTTGTTATTTATTTATTATGGGTGAGAGAGAGAGAGAGAGCGTGAGCGAGCATGCACACATGAGCAGGGGAGGGAAGAGGGAAGGAGAGAGAGAATCCCAAACGGGCTCTGTGCTGTCAGTGCAGAGCCCGACATGAGGCTCAAACTCATCAACCATGAGATCATGACAGGAGTCAAAATCAAGAATTGGACGTTTAACTAAGTGAGCCACCCAGGTGCCCCAGGTAGTAGAGCTTTATATTTTTCTTGACTTCCAGTGCAGTTTCTAGTGTAATAGAGTAACTTGCAGATCAAAAAAGCTCATACAAAAGTGAACTAAATGGCTCAAACTAAGCACCAGAGGCAAGTTAGTAAAGAATGTACTGAATATTTGACACCCACACTCATAACTGGACATGATTACTTGGGTTTATAATAACCCCTATTTGTGCTTCTTTGGTAGTCCTTTAGTGAAGAGGATTCATTTAAAAAATGTTCATCAGAAGTTGAAGCTAAAAACAAGATTGAAGAACTACTTGCCAGTCTTTTGAACAGGTAATTTTCCATTTTGCCGTATCATCCTGTACATTCTGTGTAAAGTATATGGAAAGTATACTTGGTGTTCTGTCCTAGAATTTATGGAATAACTGGAGACTGAACAGTGTAAAGAGAGATCATTTATCATTGAATTTCTCTACATTATAAACTGTTGCAAATATAGGAACAGATACTTTTAACTAAATTTAATCCTTCTGTTTCCATTAGTTTTAATTTTAGTGACATTGTGGTTATACAGCGGATCTTAAGCTGCTCATAGTGATCTGAGAGGGTTTTATGGATATCTAGAATCTCTACACCTGCAAATTTGTGATGATTGAGAATAGGAAACTATGCAGGGGACAGTGATGGAGAGGGGAGAAGAACCCTTCTATCTCCTTTGCCTCAGACTATGTGAAAGAAAATGGAGTCAGACAAAGGAATAGTTAAGTGGGGCTGCGTGTGAGCAGTGAGGGTGTGTGTGGGGCACTGGTCTGGAACGGCATGAAAGTGTCAGCTGGGATTAGGAGTGTAACAAATAGCATAAACAGAACAGGATGGTTAGTTTTCTGATGCTTCTTTACTGTCATATATCTATTTCTCAGTATTCTATACAAGAGTATTACCTTTTTCCTCCCAGTTCTTTGATTTCTCAAAGTAAGGTGTCAGGGGTCTAACACTTTTGGGTAGCTGTGCTTCTGTAATGACTGTAACTATGACTAGAGAGAAAAGTTTTTAGATGACTGTAAATGTCAGTAAACTGATGAGGCAGAGTTTCCTACAGCTTTGCTGTCACCTGCTGTGTGGTTCTCATGTCTTGAGCAGAGCCAGGCAGCTCGTGGCTTGCTGCCTGCGTCTGCGGCTGGCGGAACGACCCAGCTCCTGTGATACAACCCAGGCTGGGCCTGTGAGTGTGCTGCTGAAACTGGGTCATCCCCTTGGCTTCAGCAATTGCAAGCCTACTGTGAAATGCCTGGCCATTGGCCAGAGTTCTGCAGGTAGAGAAGCCACACAAATTTTACAGGCTCTTGTATTTGAAGAATCAGCCCAGAAAGGAGACTAGATGCTTTAAACCTGTAAATTACCAACTATGGGTGGCTCAGCCGAGTAAGTGTCTGACTTTTTATTTCAACTCAGGTTATGATCTTACCGTTGTGAGACCGAGCCCTGAGTGGGGCTTGGCGTGGAGCACAGAGCCTGCTTGGGTCTCTCTCTCTCTCTCTCTCTCTCTCTTTCTTTCTTTCTTTCTCTGTCTCTCTGCTCCTCCCCTACTCATGTTTTTCTCTCTCCTTTTCTCTCTTCCAAAATAAAATAAACTTAAGAAATTAATAACTGTGAACCATTTCTCCTTATCTCTGCTTGCCACTGTCTCTATGCCATGGCCCCTTATTTCAGTGACTGATATATATCTATGTGACTGGCCAAAAAAAATTGTGTGAATGTGTTTTCTTTCTAGAGCATATGATGACTAATAGTATAGCTATATAAGAGGTATAAAATCATATAATTTTTTATAACTTTTTTTAATTTTTTTTATTTATTTCTGAGAGAGAGAGACAGCGTGAGCAGGGGAGGGTCACAGAGAGAGAGGGAGATACAGAATCTGAAACATGCTCCAGGCTCTGAGCTGGCTGTCAGCACAGAGCCCGACGCGGGGCTCAAACCATGAGCCGCGAGATCATGACCTGAGCCAAAGTCGGATGATTAACCGACAGAGCCACCCAGGTGCCCCTTTATAACTTTTTTTAATGTTTATTTTTGAGAGAGGGAGCATGCAGACATGCGAGTGGGGGAAGGGCAAAGAGAGAGGGAAATACAGAATCTGAATCAGGCTCGAGGCCCTGAGTGGTCAGCACAGAGCCCAAAGCAGGACTCAAACCCACGAACCGTGAGATCATGACCTGAGCCGAAGTCAGATGCTTGACCAACTGAGCCACCCAGACACCCCTAAAATCATATAATTTTTAACCCATCCTCTGGGCACTAGTTTAAGCTTGCTTAGGATATGACCTTTTCTTAATATGTCTTAATTAGAGGAACCAAGTCAGATTCTTTAAACTTTATAATGACTTAGTAGGAAACATTTAACTGGAAGGTATTTAAACTAGTATCATTTAAGACATCTTATTATTTTAGTAAGGGAACAATCAAGAAGTCTTGTGAAAAAGCAATAAAAGAAAAAAATATTCTTTACAAAAATCCAAAATTTCCAGTTCAGAATTCAATTGAGTGTGTTTAACAGTGTACAATATTTGTATTCTATGTTAGTGATTTTTTAATACATTGCCAAACATATAAAAAGGAAAATATTATTTTTAATGGCATTTATCCTAGTAATTAGATTTTCACTTTTTAAGTGAATTTTGTGTCTCATTAAAACTTTTATTTTCAACAGTAAAACCAAGACCATTTTAATGGAACACTTTTTATGCATGTATGTGTACTTCTTAAGTGTGGTATATAATTGATCTTTCAAGTTATTACTCTAATTTGCCATATAACGGTAGTATTACTGTCTCTGTGCTTTTTGACAAGCACAGGGAGTGCTTTTTGACAAAATTATCTTGGTAAAATTTTTTTCTTTTTGTAATCTTTTTTCCTGTGTAAAAAAGCTGTCATTTTTCATGTATTTGCCTCTGTCAGTGAATGATTCTCTTAGTTTTTTAAATTTTCTGCTGATTTTAATATGTTGCTTTTAGTTATATTTGGATTTGAATGATAAAAATGGCTTGATGCAGCTATATCTTATTTCTGTTCTTTTCTGATTGTACTGATTTCTGAGGGAGGCCTGAGAGCCTTACACTTAAAATTTCAGAGCTTTGGTGCATAGACTTGGTGATTATTCAGGGACTTTTATTGCTTCCTGCCTAGTTATCAACCATATTTATAATTGCTATGGTGATACCCTTAGATTAAAAAGAAAAAAACTTTGAAGTAACACTTTTCTAATTCCTTGTTTCCACTTTCTCTATACTTGCAGAGTGTGCCAAGATGGGAGGAAGCCACATACAGTAAGATTAATAATCCGTCGGTTTTCATCTGAGCATCACTGGAGCCGTGAAAGTCGTCAGTGCCCTATCCCATCGCATGTAATTCAGAAGCTAGGGACAGGTTTGGGCTGATTTTCTAATAATTTAATTGGCAGGTTGAACTCTTTTTTTTTTTTAATTTTTAAAAAATGTTTATTCATATTTGAGAGACAGAGCGCACAAGCTGGGGCTGGGGGCAGAGAGAGAAGGAGACAGAATCCAAAACAGGCTCCAGTCTCTGATCTCAGCACAGAGCCCGACACGGGGCTCAAACTCATGAACCACGAGACCATGACCTGAGCCGAAGTCAGACGTTTAACCAACTGAGCCACCCTGGTGCCCCGGCAGGTTGAACTCTTAAAAAAAAAAAATAACCTTTGAATTAGAAATTCAAATTAGAAATGTGATCCAAAGATGGAGGGTCTTCACAGGGAGTTAGTAAGCTATTCAATACCTTCATTTTCGCAGGGAGGAGTTTTCACGGGAAGACTTGTTTTTTAATAGATAATAAAAATAAAGACGCAGTTAATAGTGTTCCCCAAGTTCAGAGGAAACAAAACTATGATAATGTGTTACGTGATACAAGATAACTTCTTTATGGGCATTTAGATTGTTTCCGTTTTTTGGCTATTATGAAAAATGGTGCTATGAACATTTACATGAAAGTCATTGGGCAGCCCTATGGTTTTATCGTGGGTAATTACAGAGAGTGGAACTGCTGGGTTGTATGGTAAGTTGAATTTTTAAGAAACTGCCAAACTGTTTTCTGAAGTAAGTATAAAAACTTACATTCTTACCAAGAATGCAGGAAGATTCTAGGCTTTCATATTCTTTTCATACTTAGTATTGTCAGTTTCTTTTTTTTTCTCTTTAATTTCTTTAATGTTTCCAATATTAATATTTTTTCCACGAAGTAGAGAAAGCATCTCTGGGTATTTATCTAGAATTTATAATTTTCATACAGCTATAGTATATGGGATGGTGTCATAGTTTTAACATTAAAAAATAATTATTTTAAATTATAGTAAATTATAAGAGTATTCACATGCATAATTGTTATAAGAATTCAGATTTTTATAAACTAAGACAAAAAAGTAATTTTTTCAATTTAAATCAAAAGTCTAATTAAAAAAATGTTTTTAAATGCTTTTTAAATTTATTTCTGAGAGAGAGAGAGGCAGCGTGAACAGGGGAGGGCAGAGAGAGAAGGAGACAGAAAATCCGAGGCAGGCTCCGGGCGCTGAGCTGTCAGCACAGAGCCCCATGTTGGGCTGGAACCCACGAACAGTGAGATCATGACCTGAGCCGAAGTTGGATGCTTAACCAACTGAGCCACCCAGGTGCCCCAAAAAGACTAATTTTTTTAGGTAGCTTACTCCATCACTCATTTATTTACATAACTTTAGGTTGAATAAGATATATCCTCTCTCTGTTATAGGGTATCTGTTCCATTATTTTAGGTACACTTTCTTCAGCACATTGTATGTGTAATGGTTTTTTTTTTTTTTTGAGGTTTTTTTTTCTTTTATGGAAAATGCTTTTGGTGGCCTATCTAAAAATTCTTTGCCTAACCCAAAAGTCACAGATATTTCCTCCTGTGTTTTCTTTTAGAAATTTATAGTTGAGGTGGCTCAGTCCATTAAGCTTCCTATTCTTGATTTCATCTCAGGTCATGAATTCACGGTTTGTGAGACCCAGCCCCATGTTGGACTCTACACTGACAGTGCAGAGCTTACTTGGGATTTTCTCTCTTCCTCTCTCTCTGCCCTTTCCTTCTTGTACATGCTCTCTCTCTCTCAAAATAAGTAAACATATAAAAACGCATTAAAAAAAAGAAATGTATAGTTTTAGGAGTGTCTGGGTGGCTCAGTCAGTTGAGTGTCCAACTCTTGACTTTGGCTCAGGTCATGATCTAATGGTTGTGAGACTGAGCCCTGTGTCGAGCTCAGCATGGAACTGGGAGCCTGCTTGGGATTCTCTCTCACTCTTTCTCTCTCTGCCCCTCCCCTGCTTGTGCTCTCTCTCAAAATAAATAAATAAACTTAAAAAAAATAGGGGCGCCTGGGTGGCTCAGTAGGTTAAGTGTTCAATTCTTGGTTTCAGCTCAGGTCATGATCTCATGGTTCGTGAGTGTGAGCCCCACATCAGGCTCTGCGCTGACAGCTGGGAGCCTGCTTGGCAATCTCTCTGCCCTCCCTCCCTCCCTATCTTTCTCTCTCTCTCTCTCAAAATAAATAAACATATAAAAAATACAAAAAATTATAGTTTTAAGCTTTACATTTAGTTCCACTTTGAGGAAATTTTTATGTATGGTGTCAGAATCTCAGTTCATTCTTTTGTATGTGGATATCCAATTGTTCAAACAGAACTTGTTAAATAGACTACTCTTTCTCTCTTGAATTGTCATGATACCTTTGTCAAAAACTAATTGACTGTAGAAGCATTTATTTCTTAATATGCTTATTCCATTGATTTATATGGTTATCCTTCTACCAGTTCTACCCTAACTGATACTTTGTTGTAAGATTTGAAATTAAGTAGTTTAAGTTCTCCAGCTTTGTTCTATTTTGAAACTCTTTTGGCTAGTCGTGATCCTGAGCTTTTGTTTGTGGGAAGATTTTAAAATAGGAATTTGACTTCTTTATTTGTTGTAAGTTTATTCAGATTTTCTTTTTATTTTGAGTCAGTTTTGTAATTTTTATCTTATAAGAATGTAACCATTTCATCCAAGTTGTTGGCATAAAGTCGTCAGTATTTTCTTATTATCCATCTGATTTTTGTGAGGTCTATAGTGAGGTCTCCTCTTTCATTCCTGATTTTGGTAATTCATGTATTCTCTTTTTTTCTTTATCATTCTAGCAAAGGTTTATGTGATTGAGGCCTCACTCAGGTTTTATTGATTTTCTCTAAGATCCAACTTTTGGTGTCATTGATTTCTATGTTGTTTTTCTACTTTCTATTTTATGTATTTTTGCTCTGTCTTTATTATTGCTTTCCTTTTGCTTGCTTTAAGTTTAATTTGTCTTTTTCCCTCTGGTTACTTAAGATGGAAGTTTACATTATTTCTTTTATACAGCTTTATTTTCTAATAATTCAAGTTTAAAGTTACACATTTCCTTTTAGTAGTGCCTTAGCTTCATTCCATAAGTTTTGTTGTATTTCCTTTTCATTAAGGTCACAATTATTTCTAATAGCCCTTGTGATTTCTTCTTTGACCCCTAAGCTTGTTTAGAAATTTGTTGTTAATTTCCAAATACTTGATGGTTTCCCAAATTTCATTCTGTTGTTGATTTCTACTTTAATTTCATATTGTTCAGAGAGCATATTTTGATTAATTTCAGTCTGTTTAGATTTATTGAGTGTAATTTTATTGCCTCGTGTATGGTCTATCCTGGAAAATGTACCATTTGTGTTTGAAATGAAGAGTTGAGCAACACCATCAAACCATTCTACCTAACTAAAATTTATGGAAAACTCTACCAACATAGCATTTAAAAAATTTTTTTAAATGTTTTTTTTAATTTCTGAGAGAGAAAGAGAGCATGAGCAGGCGAGGGTCAGAGAGAGAGGGAGACACAGAATCTGAAACAGTCTCCAGGCTCTGAGCTAGCTGTCAGCACAGAGCCTGACGGGCTTGAACCCACGAACCATGAGATCATGACCTGAGCCAAAGTCGGATGCTCAACCAACTGAGCCACCCAAGCACCCCCCAACATAGCATTTTTGAATGACAGTTTGTCTGGATACATAATTCTTGACAGTTTTTCCTTCCATTCTCTGAATATACTATTCACCTGTGTTCTAGTTTCCATTATTTATTATGAAAAAGGAGTTAATAGTTTTATCAGTCTCCTTCCAATCAAGAGAGAATAACCACACAAAATTTGAATAGTGAAAGTTACACAGATTTATTAAACTACAATAGGGGAGTGACTCTAAAGGTATAAAAAGGACTCCTATTTTGTTTGTTTTTTAATGTTTGTTTTAGAGAGAGAGAGAGAGAGCGTGTGTGTGTGCGCGCGTGCGCGCACACGCGCCTGCGTGCATAGGGGAGGGGCAGAGAGAGAGAGAGAGAGAGAGAGAATCCAAGCAGGCTCTGCACTGTCCTTTGGGTACCAAGGACTGAGGAGAAGTGCGCAGGGGAAGGACAAACTTGGAAAGAAGAGTCGCCCAACCCCTCAAGGAGAAGGTGTGGTTGCAGAACGTTGGATGGTAGAGAAATCCTTTGAATTACCTGGCCCAGAGCTGGTCCATGGTTACTGGGCAAAGGGAAAACCACCCTTGGATCTATGGATGAGCTGAGGCTGGTTGGTGGGCACACAGAAGGAGCTGGGATGCTGGGAGCTTGCTCACTGGTGAGGCAGTGGATGATTTGGAGTATGCAGTGTTCATGTTGGGAGGGCTTCTGTTAACCTTTTAGGATGCAGGCAAGCTGAGGCTGGTGGCTGCTTGTGCTGAAGAAGTCTATTCTGCTAGTGCAGGTATGGTGCCTGCATAGGAAGAGCTGGGGGAAGCATCCGCCTAAGTCAAGGCAGTTAGGTGTGTGTGCAGAAAGACTTGGGGGCACTTCCTAGTATGTATGGTGTTTGAGTTGGTGGTGCCATGGTACATAGTCACTAAGCTCAGGCTGGGGCTCGAGGTTGCCCCACACACATGTGTGTGGTATGGCAAGCACTATTCGATGTGTCCACACATACTACAGACAAACCACATAATGACTGGAAGCAAGGAAAAGTAAATGCAGTACATCCAGAAAGAGAAGACACCTTTCTCCTTTAGTGGTTTTCCAGTGTTCTCTACTGACAAAACTTAATATCATATTCAGTGTCAAAAAATGTTAGAGTCCAAGCATTATCAAAGCAAGTACTGAAGGCTGAATCTGGAGCTGAGTGGTACTGCACTGTAACAACAGTCCTGTCGTCATTCTACTTTACGTGATGAGTCATTTGTCTCTGTCGTTGTCTTTCAGCAGTTTGACCATGATGTGGCTTAGTGTAGAATCTTTGTGTTTTTCTTAACTTGGGATTTATTGAGCTTCTTGATTCTGTAGATTAATTTTTTAATGAAATTTGGGGAATTTTAGGTTCTTATTTCTTCAAAAACCCTTTCTTGCCCTCTTTTTTCTCTCATCTCCTCTGGAACTCTCATTGCGTGTATGTCGATATGCCTGATAATGTCCTACAGGTATGTGCAGTTCTGTTCATCTTTCTCTTCAGTCTTTTTTCTCTCCTTTTTTGGATTGGATAATATGTTTTAAAGATTTTATTTATTGAAGTGATTTCTATCCCCAACGTGGGGCTCAAACTTAAAACTCTGAAGCCCAGAGTCTCATGCTCTACTGACTAAGGCAGCCAGGCACCCCAAGATTGGATAATTTCTGTTGAGCTGCCTTCAAGTTCTCATGATTCAGCTGTCCTATCAAAACTGCTGTTGCCAATCTATTGATTTTGTTTATTTTGATTACTGTAACTTTGACTCTAGACTTGCTGTTTGTTTTTTTTATTTGTGTGCTTGATTCTGTTTCCTTTCGAGATTCTCCTTTTTTGGTAGTCTTTACCGTATTTTACTTTAATACCTTAAAGTAATTTTCTTTAATTCTTTGAACATGTCTATAGTAACAACGTTGAAGTCTGCTAAATCCAACTCAAAGTCAATTTCTATAGACTCTGTTTTCCCCCTGACTCTATCACCCTCCTGTTTCTTCACGTATTGTAATATTTTGTTGAAAGGTAGACATTTTAGATAATGTCTAAAATGTTTTAGCAAATCTAGATTTGGATTCTTTTTTCCTGTGGGCTTTTTTCCTCCTTTTCCTTTTCTAAGTTGACTGAGCTTACGCTGCAGAACCGACCTCCCCTGTGATTTGTAGCCTCTGATTTCTCCGCTTAGCTTTCTTTTTCTTTTTCAACTTAATTTTTTTTCCCCTTTGGCTTCTTGGCTACCCCTGTGTCTACATAGTTTAGTGGTTAGCGAATGACTGGTCAAAGCTTTTGCCCAAATGCTAGAGCCTGAAAGGCTTCTACTTTTTGTCAGTACATAAGTACATGGACTGGAGAGTGCTTTACAAATATTAGGCCATTTTCAGGGCACTTGGGTGGCTCAGTTGGTTGAATATCCAACTTGATTTCAGCTCAGGTTGTGACCCCAGGGTCATGGGGTGGAGCATGGAACCTGCTTCAGATTCTCTCTCTCCCTCTGCCCCTGCCCCCAGCTTATGCCCTCTCTCCTCTCCCTCTCTCTCTCTCTCTCTCTCTCTCTCAAACAAAATTTAAAAATGAGGCCATTTTCAACTCTGCCTTGTCTTTTATTTTCTGTAGCCCACTTTCATCTTCCATGTATGTTGGTTGCCATTCCAGTCAGTCACGTGTAGAGAGCTTGGGCCCTCTCTGGCTTCCCCTTCATGTGCATGCAGTCTCCCAGTTGGCTGGGGTTGGGAGGGGAGCCTATCCAGTCCCCCTATGGTTCTCTTATTTCCAGATCTCCTGGTGAAATTTATGGCTGCTCCACTGAGTTTTTTTACTCACTCCAGTCACAGCTACAACCTCAAGCTAGAGTGCTATGCTATTTCCCCATTTGTCTGCTACCAGTTTTATTCACTTCACTGGGCTTTTGCCCTCTGCCTCCAATCAAGTCAATCCCTCCTGGCAGCAGAGTTGCTGGCCTTCACAGCCAACCTCAGCTAGCACAACTGCTGCATAAAGATACGAACCCGCCCAGCCAGTAAGGCTGCTGTCTCCTACTTTCTTATCTAAGGTCTCAGTTCATTCGCCTCATTTCCAGATCCTCAAAATGGCTGTTTTGGACAGTTTTGTTCAGTTTTTTTCTTTTTAAGTTTGTTTATGAGGGAGAGAGAAAGAGAGAAAGTGGGGGGGGGAGGGGGAGGGGGAAGGCAGAGAGAGAGAGAGAGAGAGAGAATCCAAAGCAGGCTCTGCATTGTCAACCCAGAGCCCAATGCAGGGCTCAAACTCATGAACCTTGAGATCATGACCAGATCTGAAGTCGGATGCTTAACCAACTGAGCCACCCCGCCACGGAGTTTTGTTCAGTTTTATTACTGTTTTATGGGGAGAAGATATTTGGACCTCAGCATGCTTCCATAACCAGAAGATCTGTTATTTCTTTAAAAAAAATTTTTTTTTAATGTTTTATTGATTTTTGAGAGAGAGAGAGAGACAGAGACAGTGTGAACAAGGGAGGGTCAGAGAGAGAGAAAGACACAGAATCTGAAGACAGGCTCCAAGCTCTGAGCTGTTAGCACAGAGCCTGACGCAGGACTCGAACCTACGAACCATGAGATCATGACCTGAGCCAAAGTCGGACGCTTAACCAACTGAGCCATCCAGGCACCCCAGAAGATCTGTATTTCAAATCTTTTGAAAACTTTAACTCATTTGGCATTTTGTCATCACTGTTGAGATTGGCTCAGTTCAGTATATAATGTCAAGATGTTTCAAGAATATCTAAGATTTTAATTTCTTAATCTAAGTAGTATATATTAGATTAAGCTTTTAATATTGATTATGATACAGTGTGCTTAGATATTGTCTTGTCAAACATTTTATTTAGGAAATCATGATGTGATGACTCCAATGGTTGATATACTTATGAAACTTTTCCGAAATATGGTGAATGTGAAGATGCCCTTTCATCTGACCCTGTTAAGTGTGTGCCTCTGCAACCTGAAAGCACTGAATACTGCTAAGAAAGGGACTATCGATTATTATTTAACATCATCATTATCGACGACTTCACGCTCTGGGAAGCGCAGTTTTGTAAGTACACTGTTTGATTTGTGTGGTTAACTTACAAGTCTAAGTTTGTGTTCCATTGATACAATTTAGAGATTCTTTCAGGTGATCTTGCTCGAATGACTTACTTGTATATTGGACCCATTACATAGCATCGCTGGATAAAAGAGAAAACCACTGTGGAGGTTCCAACTTGTTTTGGAAGTGCTAACTTCTAAAAGTTTGGAGCAGCTTTTCTCCAAACACCACACTACTGATAGCCATAAGGAACTAATAGCAGCAGTCTCTCATCATGAAGGACTTAACAGAAAATAGCAGGATTCTACTGATGAGAAAATTACCTTTTCTTCTGACATTGATCTTGAAATTTTTTATGAACTACCGGAAGAGGTGCAAAAAGAATATGATGATTAGCTAATAAATGTGAAAATATTTCCAGATATTGAAAATAAAAATATTATACATAAGCTACCAGTATCCCTTCATTGTTTTTGTTAAAGTATTTACATTTTCCTAGTTTTAAAATTATATTGAATTTTGATAGCAAGATTGATATGACTACTCATTCTACAGTGGTAGAAATTAAGAGTGTGGCAATAGAGAAGCAGAGGCCTGTCATATTTTCAAGTGACTAAAAACAAAACCCTATATATACGGCCATTTAGCAAACCTCTAGTTACTAAATATGGGATGCTTTAAAAAATAATCATATTTTACTAAGTTGTTCTTGCCTACAGTTAACTGTTAATTTAAAATGTTTTTATTATTTTTTGTTTTAATGTTTAATTAGTATAATTTCAGCAATATTTTTATTTACATTTGAGTTTAAAATGAGAAAAGAATACTGTTACAGAAATAATGAATCAGCACCCTCTTCAAATTCCTTTTTTCCTGTGGCCCTTTTATTCCCTTTATTAACTGAAGTTTAAAAAGGTGTTTGCTTTTTACTTTTTAATCTGTAGAATCAGAATTATAAGACTTTAATTTGTACTGGTATTAGGAGGTAAATATAAGTAGAAGTACCTTGTACATGTCTGGTATACAGTAAATACAGTGTGTCAGATCTCTCTTCCTTTTACTTTTATGAAGTTATTGTTATATTGATGTTTCCTGAATTATATTTGACTGTGAATACATTTTCATGGTGCTCAAAACTAGAGAGAAAATTTAAGTGAAAAATTTTATGCAGAAAATTTCTGCAAATTAGGGGGCAGCCGAGGTGGCTCATTGGTTAAGCATCCGACTTCGGCTCTCAGGTCATGATCTCACAGTTCATGGGTTCAAGCCCCACGTCAGGCTCTGTGCTGACAGCTTAGAGCCTGGAGCCTGCTTTGGATTCTGTATCACCTCCTCTCTGCCCCCTCTCCTGCTTGCACTCTCTCTCTCTCTCAAACATAAATCAACATTAAAAAAAACCCTTAAGGGGTGCCTGGGTGGCTCAGTTGGTTGAGCGTCTGACTTCAGCTCAGGTCATGATCTCACAGTTCATGGGTTCGAACTCCACGTTGGGCTCTGTGCTGACAGCCAGCTCAGAGCCTGGAGCATGCTTCAGATTCTGTGTTTCCCTCTCTCTCTGACCCTCCCCTGCTCACACGGTCTCTCTCTCTCGCAGAAATAAATAAAACGTTAAAATTTTTTTTTAAATAAAAAAATTTAAAAACCCTTAAAAATATAAAGAAAAGTTATGCAAATTAGAGCTGAAGGTGTTTTTAAATTTTTATTTTATGTAAAGGTAAACTGTTATATTTTAGTACTGACAGTGGATTTTTATCATAGAATTTTTTTTTCCTTCTGTTATATGTTACACTTCACAACAGGGATTGTGAGAAAATCAGCCCTTGATGTTCTATGTATATATTTATATATTTTTAGATACCTAAGGGTATCTATGAATCATTTACTTTTCTGGGCCACCATTCCTTTATTCACAGAATTGGAAATTTGAAAACACGATTGTTAAGGTCCTTTCCAAGTTTCCAAATACCTACTTATCTTTTGGCTCAATGCTATGTAGGAAGGAAACCTCTCCCTAGAACAGTGAATAAAGATGCACACAACAATGTGACTAATTGTGGTGGATTTATCATCTCTAGTTATTTGGAACTGGCCAAAAGAATTAAAATTATTGAGTAGGATAGAAACATGTTGGTCAGATAATGGCTATATTCATGCTTCAGCAGTATGAATATTTAAAAGATACCAGATATCTTAAATTACTGTGTTATCCTTGTGTTCTAGAAAATGAAAGACTCTCACATGGAAGATTCTTCCAAAGACAAAGAAACAAATTGGGATTTTTTACCATCTGGAAGAATTGAAAGTACAAGAACTGGGGAAGCTCCAACAGATACTACACATTTTTCTAAAGAAAAAGACACTGATGAATTCCCACTCTGGTCACTTCCTGAAGGCATTGACCAAGAAGTCTTTAAGCAGCTTCCAGTAGATATTCAAGAAGAAATCCTTTCTGGAAAATCTGGAGAAAATGTTCAAGGCAAAGGAAGTTTGAATTGTCCATTACATGCCTCTAGAGGAGTATTATCTTTCTTTTCTACAAAACAAATGAAAGATAGTCCCTTAAATCCTAAAGATCATTTATCCAATAGCAAACAGATATCTTCTTCCTGTGAACCAGGAACATCAGGTTTAAATAGCAGTGGTTCCTCTTCTCCGTCTAGCCAAAAGGATTATTCACATTATTTAGACAGTAGATTAAAAGATGAGCGAATGAGTCAAGGACCTAAAGAATCTCAAGGATTTCACTTTTCAAATACAAACCCTGCTGTCTCTGTTTTCCATTCATTTCCAAATTTGCAGAGTGAGCAACTTTTCTCCACAAACCGCACTGCCGATAGCCATAAGGAGCCAATTGCAACAGTCTCTCATCATGAAGGACTTAAAGAAAATAGAGAGCAAGATTCTACTGATGAGAAAATTACCTTTCCTTCTGACATTGATCCTGAAGTTTTCTATGAACTACCAGAAGAGGTACAAAAAGAGCTGTTGGCACACTGGAAGAGAACAGGATCAGATTTCCACATTGTACATAAATAAGCATCTTCAGAAAAAAAGTCTAGAAAGCAAAGGAAAGGCCATTGTTCTCAGATTTAGCAGTTTATTAAGCTCCTCTAAATCAAACACTAATAGATATTCAATAATGTAGAAAGCTAATATAAAATGTTTCAGATGAAAGCACATGTAGTAATGGGAAGTAAATTCTGGCACAAAACATAAAAAATATTTATAACAAGACATAATGTAAAATTACTTTCTTATTTCTAAAGATATTTTATATTGCTTTTCAATAAAAAGAATATCATGGCTAGTACATTTCCCATAAATTAGGGGGTGGGGGTGGGAGATACATATGCCTATATATAAAAAATAGGGTAGCCAAATCATTGCTATGATGTACCAAAGAACATTTTTTTTTTCTGTGAAATAATGGAATGGCTCAAGAAATTTAATGCATCAGGAAACCTTCCAAATAAGAAATTCTGCTGCCGTCTTTTACAAATACAGTTATCTTTGGCTGATGTACTATGTACTGTTTAATAAGTTGATTTTTTAAAAAAATACCAAAGCAATGTATGTTCAATTAATGTTTCTGAGTATGCTAGAACTTACTACAATGAAGTTGTATAGAAGGCACTCAATAAATGAATGAATGGTATGGCAGGGGCCAGGTGGGAATTTGGGCAGGGGAGTGTACATGTTGCAGAGAACTGGAAGGAGCTCTCCATCCAGGTAAACTAAGGGGAGGATGGACCCCAAAAAGGCAATGTGATAGGTTTTTAGAATACTAGATAATGGAGGAAGTCCATTTGCTTCTGGCTCATCTGTAGAGTTTTAAAGTAATGATTAGATGTTTTTGCATCTTCTTCTTTATGGAGATAAGACGATTGATGTCATACCTATAGCAGATATGTGTAGTCACTAAATTGAGAGATGTCCTCTTTTTTCCCCGTTGCTCATTGCTTTCTCCTTTTGTCTGCAAGATTAAGAATTGGGTATAAGATTGTGGACATCTTGTAATTTGCAAGACATGAGGAAGTTTCTAGAACACATCAAAGTATACCTCAGTACTGATTTAGAAGAGGCCTGTTCTCAAGTTTGTAACCTTTGCAGATATAATCTAAAGACAATAAAAATTAAGTACACAAATGTCAATCAAGAATAGCATAAAAGATTCTTTCTATTAGGTAAGACGTTTTAAGTAGGTTTTAGATTTCTTGAAATTTGAAAATTCCTTTCGTAAGGATTTTTAACAGGGAGTTTTAGCATTGTCAAAAACAACCTGGAGCAAAAACATCAAAAGGTACTCATAAGTATTTAGTACTCTGCATCAAGGACTCTGGAATTTTCTACATGTAGTATACTGGTAAGGTTGTTAAAATGATAAAAAGAATATATTTTTATGTAATACATTTTTTGAAAGTTTCTAATAATCCTTGTATTATTTCAGCCAGAAATTATTAGCTAGAAAGGTTTAAAAGAAAAAAAACGGCTAAGAAGAGTGAAACAGGTTTGGCTAGTTTAAAAGGAATATAAAGTAATAGTTAAAAGTGCACCTTCTGAAGACAGAACGCAGTGGGTGTATCACAGTGTTGCTACGTATTGTGTCCTTTAGTCTTTCAGCATCTTTGTGCCTCCTCATTCTGACTTTTTAGGTTATCTTTTATTTCCATCTCCTTTTAATCTTTTAACTATTTTACATTCTTGTTTTAAACTGACCAAAACTATTTTATGCCTCTTTGGTTTTCTACAGATTTGCTGTTAATGTTTGGAGATGTAAATTTCCTTTATTAATCTCAGTATATGCTGGCTTCTGGTATCTTTCACATTATTTCTGTAAAATTTTTGGCCACTAGTTATCCAAATATAGCTTTTCTATTCTTCTAGGATTCTGATTGCACAAATGATGGCCTCTCTTATTCCACCCTTCATGTTCATTAATCTCATAGTTTTCATCATTTTTATCTGTGCTGTATTTTGGTTAACTTCCTCAACTCTGTCTATTGTTCATTAATTTGCTTTTCAGCATTGTCTGATCTACTGTTTAAAACACTAATGATGGGGGAGTGCCTGGATGACTCAATTGGTTAAGCGTCTGACTCTTGATTTCAGCTCAGGTCATGATCTCACGGTTTGCTCCGCAGTAGCAGTGGGGAGTTGGCTTGGGATTCTGCCTCTCCCTCTTTCTCTGCCCCTGCCCTACTCACTCTTACTTTTTATCTAAAATAGATAAATAAACTTAAAAAAAGAAAACACTAATGATGGTTTTAATTTTAGTAATTATGTTTTTATTGAATTCTTTTTCTAATCTTCCTGTTTATTCATTATAGTCTCTTATCAGTCCATTTCTAACTTTTAAAAACTCATAAATATTTTATATTTTTAATCATTTCAGTATTTTAAGTCTTTTTAAGTCTAAGTTTTTGGATATTGTCATGTACCATTTTGGCCTGTTTCCTTGTATGTGGCTAAGCTTAGTCTGTGGGAAGACAAAGGACCTAAATTGTGCATGCTTCCCTTCAGATATGATTTATATTTGCTTCCAGTAGGCAGTACCAACCCATCTGGCACCTCAGTAACCCTTTCCAGGGCCCCTCCTGCATGGTTGTCTTAGTTTGTCTTATTTTCAGCTCCCTGGCCTTGCTACTGTCCCAAGGTTTTGTCTTCAGAGGTGGATGGCAGGCTGCTCTCAGCCTTTGCCATCAGGGTGAACCGCACCTTTCAAGTTTGTTTTTTGCCTGATGCTTCCTGATCCTTTCCTGCTTTTGTTTCAGCTCATTGTTTTCCTCCCTGTGATTGTAGGAGATTGAGGCCTAGAGATTCTCAACCAACAATGAACTAAAAAGTGTGTTTTCTCCAGAACTAGCATTTTGTATTGGGAGGTCTGAAAGTATCTGTCTCACCATAGTGCCGAACTGCAAATCTATTTGGATTTATTTTTTCCATATTGTTTGGTGCTTTCTGTTTTTCTCTTTTCTATGCTATGCTTTTTTTCCCATTCTTTCTCTCATCTTTTTGGATTGCTTGAATTTTTTATTATGTATTTTCCCTTGACTGATTTGAAATGTAAACATTCTAAGTACTCTTGATTACTTAAAAAAATTCTACATACTTAACATCTCCAAATGGTAAATACGTGTACCCTCATTCCAAAAATCACAAAGTCATTAAAATATGTTAATTCTGATCAGATTCCTTTAGTTTTTTATTAACCTCCAAATTGCATATCAGTATTTTATAGAGTTAATGTTTAGGTTTGCACACATGATTATCTCCCCCGCTCTTTCTTGCATATAAGAAATTCATTCCTGGGGCGCCCAAGTGGCTCAGTCACTTGGGTGTTTGACTTCGCCTCATGTCATGATCTCACAGTTGATGGGTTCAAGCCCTGTGTCAGGCTCTGTGGTGACTGCTCAGAGCCTGGAGCCTGCTTCAGATTCTGTGTCTCTGTCTCTCTCTGCCCCTCCTCCGCACGTACACACACACACACACACACACTCTCTCTCTCTCTCTCTCTCTCTCTCTCAGAAATAAAAATGTTTAAAAAACTTCATTCCTTCTGAGTAGAATTCACTTTCTAAAATTATGTCTTTAGAACTGTGGATTAAGTTGACTTTTTTGGGCTATTGTAAGATGTTCACTTTTATCTGTAAAAGTCTGTAGTTTTTATTATATGCCTAGCTACAGATTTCTTTTTATCATGTTTGGGATTTAGGTGCTTTCTGAATCTGCCAATTTATATCTTCATCAAATCTAGATTAATTTCAGTATTTAAAACTTTGTTGTGAAGTCTACATACAGAAAAGTACAGAAGTAAGTTAGCGGGTAATTAAATTTTTTAAAATGTTTGTATTTTTGAGAGAGTGGGGGAGGGGCAGAGAGAGGGAGACACAGAATCCAAAGCAGGCTCCAGGAACCCTTGCTGTAAGCACAGAGCCGGACGTTGGGTTCAAACTCATAAATCATGAGATCATGACCTGAGCAGAAGTTGGACACCCAACTGACTGAACCACCCAGGTGCCCCAGTTAGTGGGAAATTATAAGCAACAACTATGTAACTAGGTCAAGAAATAAAACATATCAAATGATCAGGAAGTCCAGAGATTTTTGTTTATTTTTGATTATGTAACTGATCCAGAAGCGGTTTGCGGTTGGGGGTGCATCAAATTGAACACAACCCAAGGAAATGTTGAAAGCAAAGAACCTTTTATTGCTTATTGTTATAAGTGAGAAGACGGAGATAGCTCACAAAGAACTGTCTCACCATGCTGTTAGTACAGGAAGCTTTTATTCAGTGAGGGGCGGGAGCAAGGGAGTTCGCATGGCCACTTTTGGTTCAGTTGTGGGTGTGTAACATGTTGGGGGGGGGCTAGTGCATACATCATGTGTTCAAAAAATGGCAGAAAACTCCACCCATAGAAGGAGATCTTAGTACTATAATGAGCTAAATATAATTTCAGGACAACGCAGGGGGCTTTTGTGCCGGTCCTCAGCTGCAGTCCAGCTCAAACTAGCACAGATGAGGGTTTATTAGGTGAGACACACCTAGCAAGAGGCTATCAGGTAAAACACCTAGTCAAGCTCCTTCTTGGCTGGAACTTTTGGGTCTGGAAAAACAAAACCCAGTTGTCCCTGGCTTTTGTCCCTCCCCCGTCTGCCTTCTGCCGATGCCGCCTTTGAGTAACTTTGAGTTGCATCCTAGCTAACGGTTGTTTTCTTTTTAAATTTAGATGTAATTGACATATTCCAGATGCACAATATAATTTTTCGATATTTATATTGCAAAATGATCACCACAGTAAGTCTAGCATCTGTCACCTATTCATAGTTACATTTTTTTTTTTTTTTTGCCTTGTAATGAGAACTTTTAAGATCTAAGGAAGTCCAGAGTTTTTCTTGGGGTTTCATCATGTGGGGAGGGTTTAGTAAATCATTGACTCTGTGGTTAAACTCTGTCTCCAGTTCCCCAGGGCTTCTACCGACCCTGGATGTCAGGACGGCACAAAGTCTCAACATTCTAATCATGTGGTTGGTATTTCTGTTGTGGGCTACTGCCATCCTAAGTCTTCCTGTTGGCATAACCTATCTAGCCCCCCCCCACCCCCCCCATAAGTCACCTCATTAGCATACACCATGATGAATAAGAAAGACACAATTGTTTGGGACATTCTAAGAGGTTTAGGAGCTCCATGCTGGGAACCCTGGATAAGGACCAGATAAATTCTACCATGGAATACTTTGAAATAAGTTTTGAGATGTTTTATGGTCCCAAATGTGCCCTATCTTAGTAAATGTCCTGTGTGCACTTGAAAAGAATATGTATTTTGCTGCTGGATGGAATGTTGTATAAATGTCAGGTTTAGTTAATGTTCAAGTCTTCTGTATCTTTACTGATTTTTGGTATATTAATTTCTGAGAGGAGAGTATTAAAGTGTCCCACTATAATTACGTGTATCTTTTTCTCCTTGCTGTTGTATATCAATTTTTGCTTCCGGTTATTTGGAGACACATTCAGGGATAT